GATGAATGTGAAGCAAAAAGGGGTCTGAAGACGCATAGCTACATACTTGACCATCATCAGAATATCTGAGCAACTTACAATGATTCATGAACTGATCCTCATGGTCAGAGCCATCCCTTGGTGGGGAGGGGGTGGTGGTGAATTGGTGTGACCACTCCGGGCCCCACGGACAGTGCCATAAGAGCCCCGCGGACAGCGCCATTGTCACGTGCTGAGGGCGCCACCACTCCAAGCATTTGCACTCCGGCCACTCGCCACCCCGGCCCTGCCTCTCCCCCGCACAGGTTCTGCACAGGCTGATATGCCCTGGGCCCTGTACATCCTTAGGGTCAGCTCTGCTCATGGTACCTGTGTGAGGCAGAGAAGAATCATCCCTGTTGCACCGATGGAAACTTGAGGCACTGAAACATTCAACAGCTTGTCTAAGATCACTTGGTTAGTTTGTGGCAGAGCAGGGAGATTGAACCCAGGTCTCCATCATCCCAGTCTAGCCTTTTGCCTATTATACCTGCACCTTGTCCCAGATCATGATTCTCAGTAAGGGTGCTGGGAATTCAAATAGGAATCCGTAGCACCGAAAACATTTAGCCTTATTGTGGTTTCTGACTTTGCAATAGAAGAATTGCTCTATTATTTTTTCAGTAGTCAAAAATTAAGTGAAAGCTAAATGCTGGGATTTTCTAAGGGGGTGTCTTGGGTCTAAAAGGGTTAAGAGACACTGCCTTGAATCGTCCAAGAAACTCTGAAATACATGAGACAGAATATGTGAAGTTGGTAATAAATATATTCAACATAGGAGCAGAGATGCTTCTACTATTTCTCATGCTGTTTCCCTGCTTCAAAGTACATTTCACAGTGGAGGAATGCACAACGTTCCCTTCACACCCAAACTGTTTGTCACTATGAATTTTAAGATGACTGTACCTTGCTTTAGTAGCAGTGAATGTGTCAGAAAACTACCGTAGCACTGATCAGGTGGTTGAAGATGTGAAGCTGACGGCTCAAATGTCCCAATAGCCACCTAATGTCAGTCTGAGAAAACCTTCCAAAATATACTACTTTCAGGCTCCAAGACTCCCTAGGCCTAGTCTCCTCAAAGCAGAATAAAAATGGATCAAAAATGATTTAGCTATTGTGAAATGTAAGGAATGGGTAGAGGGAATCTGTTACCTGTGGTTTCAAAACTGAAGAATAATGAGCATTGCAATATCTTAGTTTCCATCAAAAAGGTTCATTAAATACTTCTATTTGTTTATCTAGTTGGGGCTGGTCCTGCTTTGAGCAGGGGGGTGGATTAGATGACCTCATAAGGTCCCTTCCAACCCTCATTTTCTATGATTCTATGATTTTCCGTTGATTCAGTTAGAATGATTATGGGAGTATGGATTTGGTACTTCTTGTTTTCATAGATTGTAGAGTCGGAAGGGACCCCGAAAGATCATCATGTCTGACCCCCTGCCCCAGGCAGGAACAGGACTGAGGTCAGACGACCTGAGTCAGGTGCCTATCTAGCCACCTCTTGAAAACCTCCAAGCTAGGTAATAGTACCACCTCTCTTGGCAACCCGTTCCAGATTCCGGCCACCCTTACTGTGAAGAATTTTTTCCTAATGTCTAACCTGAAGCTACTCTCTACTAGTTTGTACCCATTATTACTAGTTACTCCTGGGGGTGCCCTGGTAAATAGCACATCTCCAACTCTCTGTTGTCCTCCCTTGATAAACTTACAGCCTGCTACAAGGTCTCCCCTCAAAGGTCTCCTGTGAAGGCTGAAGAGATCCAGATCTCTCAACCTCCCGTCGTAGAGTTTTGTACGGAGGCCACTAATCATACGAGTGGCCCTCTGGACCCTCTCCAGATTCTCTGCATCCCTCTTGAAGTGCAACCCCCAGAACTGGATACAGTACTCCCAACTGTGGACTGACCAATGCCGCATAGAGAGGGAGCATCACCTCCCTTGATCTGTTGGTCATGCATCTGCTAATGCACAACAAGGTGCGATTGGCTTTGATGGCTTCATTACACTGTTGACTCACGTTCATCTTGGAGTCATAGTTGGCTCCCAAGATCCCTCTCAGCCGCTGAGCTGCTGAGGAGGTCATGCCCCAACGTGTAGGTGTGCTGGAGATTCCTCCTCCCTAGGTGGAGTATCTTGCATTTGTCTTTGTTGAATTTCATCCTATTTCATTCTGCTCTGGACCCAATGTGCCCAGAGTGGCCTGAATCCACTCCCTGCCCTCCAGTGTGTTAACTTTGCCCCATAAAGTCCACAACCTCGTTCAAATCGCTGGTGAAGATATTAAATAACAACAGTCCAAGGGCCGACCTCTGCGGGACACCACTGCCCACCTCTTTCCAGGTCGAAAATGACCCAACCACCACCACTCTCTGTGTGCAATCCCCAAGCCAGTTAGCCACCCACCTGACTGTGTAAGCATCCACTCCACAGCCTGCTAGCTTCCTTATGAGAATAGGATGCGAAACAGTATCGAAGGCCTTCTTAAAGTCCAGGTAGACGACATCTGCCTCAGCTCCAGCGTCAAGGCAGTGTGTGACCTGGTTGTAAAAGGCTATAAGGTTTGTCAGGCAGGATCTACCTGTTTTTCTTTCAGCATCATTTCACCTGCTGGGCCTTCACAAATACACTCTTTAATGATTTTTTTCCAGTGTTTTCCCAAGGATAGAGGTAAGACTGACTGGCCTAAAGTTACCTGGCTCATCCCTTCTCCCCTTCTTAAAAATGGGCACCATGTTGGCCCTTTTCCAGTCCTCAGGGACCTGGCCAGAGCACCATGAGTGCTCAAACAGCCGTGCCAGCAACTCAGCTATGACACTGGCTAATTCCTTCAGCACCCGTGGATGGAGGTCATCTGGGCCTGCTAACTTGTACCCATCCAACCCCTCCAAGTGCTCCTTAACTAAGTCAGCACTGACCACTGGTGGTCTAGTGCCTTCCAGACATCTGTCTATGTTCAAAGATGGACATTCATTCCATCCTTGTTCATTCAAAGATCTCTGGCATCCCATGGATATGCAGAATCTCCTTTAGACTTATCTTAGGTTGTCACTAGTTCAGAGGCTCTTAGGCCTTTTCCAATTGGGACCTTTATCTGGTTTTCTCCTTATGACTTTAATCCCTCAATCTTTTGGGGTCATGGGAAGAAACTGTGGTGGTCTTGGTGGATGAAATGTGTGGGATTAGGTTGGGGCTATTGCTAGGCAGTTCTGCATGGAGATGCTGGTGGAGTGAGGTGGGTGCTTTCCTCTTACCCACGGTGTCTTGAGAAATGCTGCTCAAATGTGATGTGAAGCTAACTGAGGGATTTTAGCTGCTGGAGAGAGGCCACTGGCTCCTTGAAAATTCACATTGCTCTGGGACAAAGTAATGTAGGTACGGAGAGAAAGGGAGGAATGAGAAGCTGCTACTTGAGTAACTCTTGAGCCTACTGGGCACTTAGGTTTTGACCATTTTGTTTCAACATCTGGCTCTCTTTTGTGATGCAATCTGAGGTCTTTACCTCATGAGAACCATGGCTGTAGCTTATGATCTCATTAAAGTTACTATGCATTGCTATACATGAGAAAATCCAAACTTGTGAGATGACAAGCCCTTACCTCTTCAAAGGTAAATCATTTGGAGGGCTCTGAGACAATCAGCTCACGTGTACGAATGAATGTAGCCCATCTGTTTGAAAATGAGTTCAGAGAAAGATATTCTTCCCCAGATAGTTGTTGAATGATTGTTTTGTTTGGCTTGGTAACTGCATCTCCTCTTTACAGCCATAAAGAAGGGAGAAGAAACTACTGGTTATGTATATAGATAATCAGGTTTTTTGTTTCTTTTTTGAGTATTTTAAACTGGGTATACTGGCTCCTGTTGAGAGGAATATGAAGATTTACAGGCTGGAAAGTTAGATCCTGAATGAGATTAATATAATGCAGTCGTCTGTGTGTTTTCTTAAAATAAAACAAGGCTTTCTCTTGAAATCAACTCCTGCCTGTGCATTTCTGTTTTTGAAAAACTGATCAAGTAGGGCAAAGAGAAATTTTGCTTCCAAGATTGCTAGAAATCTCTGAAAGTTGCAAGAGAACATTGTTTATTTGAGGCTAGTTACTTTAGTAGTAACATTGTAATTCGTTTTACTAGGGGAAAGATCAGATTACTTTTTGTTCACTTTTTTAGTCAAACTTCTCTTCTCTCACCTGGATCTATGTAAATATATATGTGGGTACATTGAAATAAATATGGAGAAAAATCACACTGCTCCACTGATTGGAAGGCCATGTGACTAAGAGGCTGTAACATTCCTCCTGATCTACACATGAGAGCAACAGTGTGTAAATATTTGCAGACATTTTCATGATTTCTGTAGAGTTTAATGGATATAATTCCTTCTCTCATTAAAGGCCAGATTCTCACCTGCACCGGATGTAAATTGATAGTTTCATGGAGGTAGCTGGAAACGGGCCATCTGGGGCCTCAAAATATGGTTTATATAAGCCAGTTACTTGATACAAGAAACCAAAAAGGATCTTTTCCTTTTCCCTTCCCCCCCGCCCCCCAAGCCCCCCCCCCCAACTAATCACACTGTGCACCTTAAATTAAAAATATA